GCTCATTCACAGGAGTGACAATTGTGTATGTGTTATCAAAAACACAATCTAAGAGAAGCGCTTATGCTTCGCCAATGCCCCTGAGATATTTGGCCTGCTAAATATCTGGACCTGTCTGAGACTCACAGTCCTGCAGTGTGAAATGTGTTTTGACTGGAAATGACATTGGCGACAACCTACAGCCAATGAAAGAGCAAGATACAGGGCAAGGGAAAGTTCAGCGGGAGGAGTTATAATAGACCTGCAACAGAACATCAGCAAGCAACCATTCTCTCCTTCATATTCTTCTTTGTTTATTTTTTAATTTTCACTGCAAATCAGTGTACAGACAACTTGGATTGCAAGCTTTTTGTGGGCTTTGACAGGAATAAATATATTCTCATGTGAGAATGCGTCTCTCACGTGATCTTACATTATTTCCTGTATCAAGTCTCACATTTGTTTGTTTGTGAAACAGATGTTGGCGATTCGTCCTATTGAAAAATTGGGTATTGTGTGACCACCTGTCGCCGATCCTTCATGTAGTGTACAACAGCAACAAGATGGAAACGCAGACAGTCGTGCAGTGTGAGAAGAGCAGTGAAAAAAATTACAAATTTCATAACTCATCACCACATAATGAATTAATGTATAGCAACAGCAACTTACAACTACTGTAAGTATATCCAATTTTATCCGCATACATAAAGCAACACATACTAAATAGCATTAAAAACCATGAATTTCTTGAATGCTGTTTCGAAACCATATGTAAATGTGAATACAACTGACTTGACTTGAGAGCTGCAGAGTCTTCATACAAAGAACATATTTAAGAAAAAAACTATAGAGTAGAATAACAATATATTTTATTCACTGTCAATATAAATCTATAGAATCTAATAAATAAAATTCAGGTAACAACTTGTTAGGGCAGATTTCATTCTATGTTTTGAGTAAAGACTACCTAGATTTGGCATGACGAAACGTAGTCGATTTACTTGTTACCATATCAATGCTATATAGTAATATATATATATATATATATATATATATAT